CTGGTTTGCTGCATTGAGAAGACGCTTGCGCTGACCTTTGGTCAAAATCTCATTCCCCTCCTGCGTGAGGCCGGTCGTAAGAGCGTCTTCAAAGCGGTCAGGTTCTCCCTCAGAGTCTGACGTGCTCTCATCTGCTGATGACGGTCCATCTTCGTGGGATGACTCAGATTGGCCTGAAGAGAACGAGCCATGGCTGTCTGAGTCCGTACTGTCGTCATAGGGCTCCGCCTCCTTGATGGGGACCTTGTGCACGATCTGGTCCAAACCACTGATGGCCTCATCTTCCATGTGGCTCTGCCACAGAGCAAGATCTTCAAGATCTGATTCTGGCTCAGCCAGGGAGTAAAAAGACACCTCAGAGTCATCTGACGATGTCACCTCCTGCTTGGAGGGAGAAAGCTCATCTTGGCTCTGCCAAAGCGCCAACTTGTGTGGATCTGCTCGTAGGACAGCTCGAAGTTCTCGAAGTTCGGAGGTGTTCCAATCCTCTGCCTTGCCATCACCAAGAATCTCGAGAACGGGGTGTCGAGTTGGTGAGAGCTCCGTAGGTGTGCTGCAGCCATCGATCACCGTCATGCCCTTGGCGAACTCCATAGTGACTTTCCAGCGCGCCAGCTCAGAAGGTCCAACCAATGCCGGGCAATTTGAAATCCGGGGATCCTGCTTGGTGTCATCAACCACAGCAACTCTCAACCACGATCGGATGCCAGTTCCTCCCAAGACCACTGGATAGAGACCAGCTTCCGTTGACAGAACTGGGGCTCCAGCACCGAAGCGAAAGGTCTCCTCATGCTCCAGCACCTCATAGGGGAGATCGCGCTGGTCCAGGGCCTGGCGCATCTTGACATGCCACTTTGCACCAGCGACTGCAGTGCGGCATCCACTGTCCAAGATCACTTTATGGGCTGCGTGCTCCAGCATCCAAACGTCCATGGGATCCTCCTCCAAGACCGTCTCGGCGGTGAGTGCGCCATGGTCCATGCTGTAATAGAGCACCTTCTTCAACTTGCAAGCCTTGCAAGAAGCCCAATGAGCGGCACCGTTTGCGCCCCACCTCAAGTTCTGCCACAAGTGAGGACACTTCTCCTGTTCTGGAGTTGGCAGCTCTGATGCTTCTGAAGGTCGAACTCGTCCTTTTCGATCCAAGGCACCATCATAAAGATCTTTCCTGAACTGCTTGAGACGCTTGCGCCGAACTGGCTCAGGGAGATCACTTGTCGAAGCTGGCTCTGGTGCCGGGGTGGTCGACGAGCTCGCTGCCTTATAGCCTCCATCATGCCGCTTGTCTGATCTCTTCAACTTCTCGGCCGTCTGATGCTGGTCCAAGTATCGTGCAGCTTCACGATCTCTTTCTGCCTTCAGCTCCTTGTACAGCTTCCTCTTCTCTTCTTTTGACATGTACGGGAGGATCTCCAGCATATCGGCCGGTGCGAGGTCGGTCTCCATTGCCACGGGCTTCGATCCTTTTGCTTTGCTCTTTGCTTTTGCCAGCTCTTTCTCCTTCTCTTGCAACTGCTCTTGCTTCTTCAACAGCTTCTTCTTCAACTTGAGATCAGACTCATCAACTTCTTCTGCCAAAGCGGAAACCACTGTGCGAAGAGCTGCTTTATATTTGGAAGCCTTCTTCTGAGCAGATGCTTCTTCTGACGATTTGCCGGCACTGAATCCAAGAGGTTCTTCTGGCTCTGAACTGCTGCTGGGTGAAGAGACGGCTGAACTGGAGTCCGAAGAATAGGCCTTGATGCGCTGCCAACCTTCCATAAATGTCCAGTTCACCTTGTGCACATTGAGTCCCTTGGTGCTCCAAGTGTGCCTGTTGCCGTCATCCTCCTCCTGCTTGACCTCTTCCTTGGTCCTTGTGCCGCTGCCACGTGCCGTAGGCGAGGTGTCGGTGGTGAAGTTGACCTGCGACTTTGCGGGATCATCTCGTGGAGGGTCAGTCCCATTCTTCACATTTGGACACTCCGGGTCACCATGCCAGTGTCCAATCTGTTTGCATGATGCACACTTGGATTTGGCCTTCCGCTGGTCCTTCGTGCGGTACTCCACGAATCTGCCACCACCTTTCTTGCCCTTCTTGCCTTTGCCCTTGGACTTGGCATCACTATAGCCACGTGCTTTGCGAGCTTCAGCGGACTTCTGCTTGGCACGCCATCCTGCCGCATAGGCTTCTCTCAAGTCCATGCCATCATCATCCCAATCCCAGTCGCCTTCTTCATCTTCGTCATCCCAGTAGTGATCCTGCTGGTATGCCTCCTGCTCCAAGTCTTCATTGTCAGCCTCATCGTCTTCGTTCTCGTAGTAGGCCTCATCATCACCTTCTTCCTCCGGGATGCCCTCCTCGTCATCGTCCCAGTCCGGCTCCTCCTTGACATTGGCGAGATGTGCTCGAGAGGATCGGTGAGGTTTCGGGCGATTTGACTTGGAGGTTGATGAAGTCTTCCATCGGCGAGGATGATGGTGCTTGTCCTGAGGGCGGTACTTGGCCTCATCGAGATGGACATTCGAGCATCTGAACCTGAGAACCTTCTCGATGGCATTGGATGCATACTTGCCGCCAGCACTGTAGAAGATGTCCATCCGCTCCTGCTTGGTGAGGGAAGCACGGGATAGCATTCTCTGGGCAAAACTCTTGTCCGGCAGCGTGGTGCCTGTATCTTCTGCCAGGTACTCTGTTCGAAGTCTCTTCAAGGTGCTGATGTAGGAAGCGACGCTCTGACCTGGTGCACGGCGATACGTCAAGTAAGCTTCCTGGCGCTCTTCGAAGCGTTCGTCAGATCTGGCACCATAGGACTCCTCAAGCAGCCGCATGACTCGGTTGAGTCCTCCTGGCTCCCTCATCTCGGAGACTTGAAGTTGATTCAGGATTTGACGCGGCTCTCCCTGGCATGAAAGATAGATTAACATGGCCAATTCGGCCTCATCCAACCTGTACAGCGCCTGCTGGGCCTCAATGGTGCGCTTCCACTCTTTGAAGTGGGATCTTGAACCCCTGAACATTTCCAGGCGGACTTGACTGAGCGAAGGCTTTGACCTGTCTTGCTGCTTCTTCGCCTGTTGACCCAGAAGGGCACGGATCTCACCTGTGGAAGCTGTGGATGCACTCGAACCTGATGCTCTGGACGGTGTGCGATTTGATGATGTGCGATTCGAAGCAGCCGGAGTTGATGTCACGTTGGACGAAGTCGGATCCGATGACGGCGGACCTGGTGGTGGTCGTAGACGTGGATCACGAGGGTTCCTCTGATACTGCCTCGGGCCACGGCTGTCGTCAGTGAGATTGGATGGTGTCACCGGCGGATCTTCTTCGAATCCCTCTGACTCTTCACTCTCTTCCTGCTCCTCGTAGGTGTACTCGGAGTACTCCTCCTCATCATCATCTTCTCCAGGCGGATCAGGGTTCGGAGGCGCTGCCTTGGACTTCTTCGAAGGAGTCTGTGAGTCGTCACGACCAGATGGACGAGGATCATCTTCATGTCGTTCCTTCTTCTCCTTCTTTTCTTTCTTGTCGCCTTTCTCCCCCTTCTCAGCTGCTGAAGGCGGAGGTGGCGTCTTTGTCCTCTGCTCCTTCTTATCTTTCTTCTTGTCCTTGGCGTTGCGGTCTGACTTGTCCCTGCCATCTTTCTTGTCCTTGGCTTCCTTCTTGTCTTTCTTCTCCTTCTTCGCTGCGTCCTTTGGAGCTGCCTTGGCACGAAGTCCATGTCCTTCGGGAAGTGGAACACCTACTGAACGGTGTTGTGACGGGTGCTCCAAAGTCGATGCAGTCGAGTGAGGAGGGCCTTTCTCTCGGCCTTTTGCTTGTTCCGCTTCTCGTCGAGGAAGGTGCCATGATCCATCCATGGTTGATGGCTCATAGGACAACCATTGAGCTCCGGTCCAGAACATCCAAATGCCCGTTTGAGGTGATTGGTACCAGCCAGGCACCTGACTTGACCAGCCAGCAACTGCAGACCATTGTCCGAAGATCTGGTTCCATTGACCTTCATCAAGCACCTCGTAGGCATCGTCCATGGTGTAGGGATGTCGGCCTCGTCCAGCTCCAGCGCCTTTGTCTTTGCCCTTTGAACTCTTCCCTCCATGACCTTTTCCTTTGTGTCCTGGGGAGTGTGCTGGTCGTGGTAGTTCAGGGCGTGCTCGTCCGCGGCCTCGACCTCGATGCGTGGAGCGTCCACGTTCTGTACGGTCTCTGCCGTGTTGCTCCGTGGCTCGGCCACGGGTCGGGGCGCCGCCCTCTGGCTCCGCCGCTGGCGGGGTGGCTCGGCCACCAGGAGTCTCAGCTCCGTCCCATGAGGGAACAGGGATGGTGTCGGCCGTCGTTGCCATCCCTGACCCTAGGTGCGGCACAGCACCTGCCCACCGGTATTCGGTAGGCTCCGCTACCAATGCGGAGATGAATTGGGCTCTAAGAAAATGCGAAAGCTAAAAAGCGCTGCTTTTTGCTGCGTGCGCTTGATCAAGCTGCAGTTAACACCGAACATGCCACTAGACACCGCTGAACATCAACTTTCACAGGTCTCTGCTTAAGGCTAGGGCTAACAAGATTGTACTCATGTGTATATATCGACTGACGGACGGACGGACTGACTGACTGACTGACTGCCTTGCTTCCTTCCTTCCTTCCTTCCTTCCTTGCTTGCTTGCTTGCTTTCTTGCTTGCTTGCTTGCTTGCTTGCTTGCTTGCTTGCTTACTTTATGAGTTTCACAGTAAAGCACCAACAAACATTATGTGCATGACATCCAATGCACTACCCTGGCCGTTGACATCCCTACAAGTAGAACTGCATGGATGCCCTGCCTCTTTGCCTGCAAATCTGCCTCACAACAGTAACAGCATTCTAATCTAAACAAAACATAAACAGTTATTAATAGTCCTATCAAATACGGGTCCAAATAGCGAGGTGCTATTGGTCTCCCATAGGCTATTGACCAATCAGTCCATGTTTAAAGCGAGGTTGCAGGAGCTGTATCTTAGATGTTCAATCCCAAAGCCACCAAGGCACACTTCTCGCCAGTGTCTTTATTCAAGAACGCTAGGCCAGAATGATATGCGTTCCTCGGTCTGTATCTGGGGTGATTTTGTCTTGGAGAGGGTAATTCAGAGAGAAACATCTGTCGAACGCTCAAACGGCAAAGTATGAGACAAGATGTGCCAAGTAAAAATGGCAGGGCAAACGGCTCAAACCGTGAGTCATTTGGACTTGGACGCCTCTTGATGTGTCTTCTTGAAATATATGCTGTGACAAGGGCGTGAAGTGAACAAATGCAAACTCTCTGAAGTTGCGAAACCAGGACTTGGCCAATGTGAGAAAAAACTACTGCATCATTTGGTCCAATAACAATGGACTGACTCCCTTAGTGTGATTGGAACATACCGGTGAATCAAACTCTCCAACCGCCGTGAAGCTGCAGCTGATCCGCAGGTCTGGGTCTTCAGATGTCTTGCCAAGTGGCCAGGGTGCTCGGTCCAGGACCCACTGTGCCAGCAAGAACTCCGCGTAGTACACCTGGTTGGCGCCGGTCGGTTCCAGGTTCTGAACCACTGAGTTGCACGACGTATGCACGACGTCCTAGATCGTTCAAGCCTAAGCCAAGCAATCATTGATAGCCAGCTGTTCCGTTCGAAGGTCCACTGAGTTCAGAAACGTTCAGAACCTTCATCCAAGTGATTCATTCATCACTTCAGACCTATACATCTCAAAAATTCCTAACACCTCCCGTATATGAAGAGGTCTTAGACATCCAAATGAGCACCGTAACCGCAAGAATCGCTTGGATTCCGAGGACACGAACTGATGAGAGTGTCCTCAAAGCAGTATGAGAGTGACTTGGCAAACGACCCAAAAGACGAGGCAGCAAAACGGACCCAGGACTCATCGCTGCCATTGACTCATCCAGTCAAGCAGGTGTGATGAGATGGTGTGATCGCCACGTTTAAATGGTGGAGGCCTCTTATGTCCTTTCAGACTGACTGCTGTGAAACCTCGTGATGACATTGTGACTCATGACTACTCGGGAAGAAAGAATGCACGACCAACCCATCGGAGTCCGGATCCCCTAAAACCGCAACACGGTGAAATGCAAGAGTCACCTGGAGTCGACCCGTTCGTACCCCGGAAAATGGAGCACCAGTCGAACCTGTTTTTTGGGCTGGCATCGCTACTAGCAATGTTTGCTACTAGCTTATTGTTACTAATAGCTTCTTTGTTACTACTAGTAAGGCACTTGTTCCTAGTAGCGATGCACTTGTTCCTAGTAGCATTTTTTAGGCACACGACTTCTGTCACAGTCGGGTCTAGGCACATCAGCACGAACAACTCCAACGCCAAATTAAAATTAATAGCAAACATTGTTACTACTAGTAAGGCACCTGTTACTACTAGCGTGGCACTTGTTCCTAAACAACGCTGAAAACACAGTCCCGGGGCCGCCCGCCTCAACACGTGCGCTCGGCGCCCACGGCAGCAGCGATCGCGCGTGGAAGATGTTCTGCGCCAACTGACGGTCCTCATCCTCTGCCGCGCATAGCCATGAAGCCTCAATTGGAGCTGGTTCTCCCATCTAAGCGGAGAAGAGGATGGCATCAATGGCGGTCAAAGCGGGGGATTCGGGCTGACCACTGAACATGCACAGAATAGACTGCGAAGGGGAGGTCAACCTACCAAGGATTGCCATGACCCACAGCCAAATTGGAAAAGATATGAACAGAAAGAACACAAAGATCGGAGCCGATGGTGAAACGGAGCCGATGGTCGGATTGGTCTCCTTCGTTTGGACCAGAAGTTGCAAGCCAAGAAATGCGGAGACCAATCCGACCATGATTCTTCATGATTCCAGCATGCCCGATGGGGTATCCAGACTATCGTTTATATGCCCTATAGGGATCCACATACCCTCTGAGGTACGGTGATTGGAGATACTGTTATGTAGGTTTGGGGGGTCCAAGTACCTTCTCAGAAGGTACTTGGATCCTAGGCATGCTTCACTAGTTAGCATGGGTTGGCGGTTGATGCTTCTACACTCGGATCCAGAAAACATCATAGGAACTGCGGCTTGTTCCCAAACACTCCGTGGTCCATGGATGGAATATAATATGTATGAATATCCATAGTTACCCACATTGTAGGCACATTGTAGGCCTATATGTCATGAATGGAGTGGTGGAGTGCTCGGGGATTGGTACTCTTGGTTACACCTCAGGCGCTCTCTTGCACAAAGACTGACGTAGTCTGCTCAGGCGCTCAGTGTGGATCACTCACAAAACTGCCTCACGGTGCCTTTCCCATCGCTGATCTTCCTAAGGCCCCCGACCAGGAAGAAAAGCAGGCCGCTCCAGCGCTGCAGGCCGCTCCAGCGGTGCACAACCACCATGTGACGCCAGAGAAACTGGAGCTTGTTTTGACCGCTGTTTTTGGTGATTCCGCAGATGGTGATGGATTCCGCCCCCCCCAACACTCCATGGGACCGGAATGAATTGACCCTATGATTTACCCGTAAGACATCTGAAAACCACCATGTTGTAGACGAACATCTTGCAGTCCTATAATATAATTAATATTATATATATATATGTATAGGGGGTATTTAGGATCGTTCCTCCGAATGGCTTCTTTCGTGAACGGAGCCATCCCCGGAAGGTCTTTGGATGGCATGCTGCAGATGCGTCGGAACAGGAATGTCTTGACATGCTTGTTGAACGGTCAGTGTGGGTGGCTGGTCTGGGCTTTGGGTGGCTGAAAGATGCTGCCACATGCAAAATACCTACATTTACAGCTTCCGCTAAGTGGACCGCAACAAAGTGAATGGTCTACTACCAAAACAGGTGTGGACAAGCTGTGTTTAATCTATGGCAAAAAAGGGGTATTTCAATAGGATGACCGCAACTAAAATGAATGCTCTTCTAAAACAGGTGTGGACCAGCTGTGGTTCATCAAAAACACAGGGTATTTCAATAATTGGAAGACCATCCACCAGTGGGTCGACTGGTCCATTTTCCTAACCTCCCAGGAACGTCGGTCTCCCGAACGCACTGGGGGAGAACCAAGGTTTCTCGGTAGGTGGGAGCCTACCTTCAAACGCCAACCATCTTCCAGGTTTCGCAAGTACACTCCGGACCACGCGCATGGACGCGGGATGGTCAGTAACACCTAGCTAGTGAAAGTTAAGGCTGTTGTCCTCCGGGCGCCAGTGGTTTTCAGGGTCCATGTTGGTCTCCCAAGGGGTCTGATCCCACCGTGGACTCATGTGGACTCTGTCATTCCTTCGAAGAGCTCAAACGAGCAGGAAGAGCTCAAAGCTTGTTTGTCCGGATCATTTCCTCCAAGTCCAGATCGTTTCCTTCAAGTTCAAATCGATCACCCGGAAGTACAAGGTACACTCTAGATCACCCGGAAGTCTTGCTGTTGATTGACACTCCGCTGTTGCATTCTCGACTTGTTGGAGGCCCACCAAGCTTACGAGTCGCCCAACGATCGATTGGTTTTATCTGGCTCAGAACTGGCGCAAATTGATCAAGCCAGTAATCTGCCATGTGATGTTTTCCATGGCTGAACCAACTTACATCACTTCCTGTCGATCTCCGATCTTCGTTTGGCCCAAGGATGCTCATGCCAAACATCCTGCAAGTGCCAAACATCCTTCCAACTAGTTCTTCATATAGACACAATTGCACAAACCCAACTTAAGACGGGGACGCGTATTGTTGACATGAGGAATGCTCAAATTCTGAAAGGGAGCATGCGGGCGTTGGGTCAGTAGAAGTAATTAGGGTTTGGCGGTTTGTCGAATTGTCCACTCTGTGGATTAACAACTCAGCGTGAAGCCCCATCCCTAACAGAGCATCTCGTGTGAGTGAAAACCAAAAAATAAATACAAACAAACACTTGGTCCTGTTTCTATAGCTATTGTAATGTGTTTTCTTTTAAAGTTGTGTTTGCAATCTTAGAGCGGGGATGAACCTCGTACACTAGATTTAGGATTCATCCTGTCAGAATGTCTTTGAACATGCGGGTCCATCAGGATGCACCTTGTTGGAAACATTTAAGGGTCTGGCACTTCAGCTAACTAGGGTTCAAAGAATGGTTAGATGACTCAATGGATGATTCATGAAGACGCGGGTTCTACTGTATTGGTCTGCATCTTGGCACTATCAGAAGGGTCGAAGAAGAAATCGATCCAAATCCGCTGGTCAGGTGACTGAGCTCGTTCTGCCCATGGCATACAAGAAGAAAAAGGCACGTCTAAACATCCCCGAAACATCCCCTCCAGGTCATGGCCGTCGGATGAGAAGTTCAACGAAGAAAGCGACGAGAAATGGCCGTCGGCTGTGGCAGTCACAGGACTTCATCCCGGATCCACGGATCCAACCTCTGAGGTATGGTGATCGGCGACTCTTTTACGTCTTTGATGTAGGACCCTAAGACCCCGGGCCCGAAGCAACACAAATGGTTTGGTTCAGGCCCGGACCCCGTTTCGGTGGAGAAGGTCCGACCCCTGCCATGGAGAGCTCAAGGATTTTTAGTTGATGATGTAGGGCTTAGAGTCTTAGAGGATCCAAGTATCTCCACCATCCGAGAAGGTAGGTGGATGCGGAGCCACAAACGCCCAAAGTTCGGCAGATGGGGTCGAGACAGCATCCCACAAGCGAAGCACGCTGTCAGGGACTTTCAAGCTCAGCAAAACACCCAGGTCTACAGGAAACGATGGTGTTCTGTTCAGCCCTAAAACAATGCCCAAACACTCCATGTATGGAACCTTTAACTTGAAACCTCCCCAATGTATGTACTAAGTTGCAAATATTCCATAGATGGAGTGTCTGGGATGGCTTTCCGCCGATTCCCTTTCAGCTGATGGCTTTGTGGCACTGGCTGTTGTCGATACTCCGAGGTCGACAGGAGGCTTTGCACATGAGACATGTGTACTTCGCGAATCTTGATACAACTGTCTGCGAGCATTGCAACTGTTCTTCCAAGAAATTGGTATAGCCTCAAGCAAGCCTGGAGAAACTCCTTCTTGTTGGTTAGTTGTTGGCTGTTGGCTGTTGTCGTTGTTGTTGTTGTTGTCGTTGATGATGTTGTGGTTGTTGCTATCGGCGTCCTCCCTGGTCTCTGTCAAATGCCTATCACACGCACCACTCAGTGGCTGACAATATGTCACGAAGTACATATGCTTTCTAAACATTGAATTCGTCGGCAGCCAAAGCACACTACTGCACAGCACGGAGCCAAGTTCTTCCTCTTCATGACATGCAGAAACTGGATAGGAACGGCCAATCCTTTCACCGTGCATTCCATGGACATTTGGAAATGGTACACATGAAGGTGGATCTTCGCGGATTATTTTTCGTATCCCCACACCGACTTCGTCGTGCCTCCGAAACGCTTCGGTACGACTGGAGGCCAAACGGGTATGGTCCTTCAATCAAGGAACCTCCCGGACTGGTCGGGTCGGGTCGTTCGGAAAACTCCTCCGGTCGTTGCTAGAGGTGAAGAAGTGCTCCCGGTCGTGTTGCTGTTCAGGCGCATTCCTTTGTCTGTTCTGAACAGGCCCTCTGTTTCTTGCCTGCTGGACCGCTAAATCTTGAGAGCAGGTGTGCTTGGGAGAGCATGCACTAGCTCAAAACCTATCTAAAACACTGCAAATACCGCGCAGCAATCTAAACAACTGCTCTGAGACCTAGGCGAAACGCATATTGTCTATCTTCCTATGCCAAATTTCTATGTGCAATGTCAATGTGCAAAATCTTAATGATATGCACTATTAGTTTGACTCATCTTTGTTCAATATCAATAACTGCCTGATAACTAAGTTGTATTTTGTTTGTTGTCAATATCAATATCGGTCAAAGCTGTTTGGTTTAGAATTTTGAAAGGATTGATATCAAATATGCAGACTTCCGCTTCTACGCTCTCCCCTCAGAAAATTCACCTTGATCCCACAGGACCTTTCTATTGTTTCAATAGATGTTACATGTTATGATCGATTAATTCTATTATTCCATCTATGCATTAATTTCTTTGATGTCCTTGGTTCATGGGCAAACAGCAATCCAAATAACACAGCCTTCATTGCAGTTTGACTTTGGCTTTGGCTGGCATCTTGTCCAAAACAAGAGAAAAAATAACCATGATAAGGCAACCAAAAAGAAATATATGTATTTTTGTGCCTAGGCATAGTCTAGCTCCTTACCTTCTTCGAAAGAGCTAAGCCAAACAAAACAACTTGACCAAGAAAAAGGCCTTGTGAAGACTGAAGCAGCCTTCCTTTTTTTTGGTGCTCAATGTTTAAGGCACGTTACGTTTGAACTTGTAGAACACCTTAAGCAAGACAAATACAACCTACTGGAGCAATAGAAACACTTATTGAGACAGGATACCAAAAGAAACAATTTGTTGGCTGGATAGAATTTAGTTAATTGATGCTGTTGCAACTTGGTCTAGGTCATTAGCTTCTTTAGTAATCCGGTCCTTTAATTGAAACCTTAATGCTCTTAAAAAGGCAATTTATATAAGTGTTTGCACATGTTCTGCGTGAAACAACATCTCCCAGGAGCACTCGTTCTGTAAATCGTGTTACCTTTGCTTTCCTCTCTCTCTATACCCAAACAATCCATGTATAGAATACGTGCCTCAGTGGTCTCAAGATGTTAGGGTCGAGACCAGTCCCATAGAGATGTTAGTCGTCCCATGGATTGTTGGGGATATACATGTATGTAGTTGTATGTATATGCTTTGTTCTATCTCATATTATCACATATACATGTACATATATTCAATATATATATATGTTATATGAATAAATTCTTCTTTAACCGCTTTGGCTCCAGTGTCGGTGACATGGCGCCACGTTTTTGGCATGTTCTCCGCCTCAGTCGTCACCGTCGCCGTCGTAAGACGATGCCGCGGAGGAGGCGCAGGGCGGCCTTGTCGCGAAGCGGTCTGCAGAACTCGCGGAACTGTGAGGGGTTGGTGGAAACCTTTCGTTGCAGTTGAAAACTAGCTGAAAATCACTGAAGGGTCTGTTTTTATTGATGGAAAACGCATGTTTTTTGTTGCTTTTTGTGACAGTTGTGGGGTCTGAAAACATGCTGAAAACGTATGTTTGTTTTCCTGAAGAAATGTGGAACCGTCTTGCCCAGCTTGTTGATGGAAAGTGCTTGCATGATGATATGGCAATGGCAACTTGGTCCACAATTCGTCAGAAACATCGGGAAACACATGAGTCTATACAGGACCCTCACAGGTCACCACCTGCAACATTGAAGTCTCCAGTACAACCTCCCCTTCGACCTGTTGGAAGGTGCTTGAAATCGATGGAACATCATGGAACCAAATCATTTCAACAAACGAAGCAGTCAAAGTGGAGCTTCCACT